AGACAGAAGTTATGTTTGTCACATGTTTAGCCCCTGAAAGTGCTGTAAAGCTGTGCTGTGCATGTGCTGCAGAGTATGGGTGTGCGAAATGAGCCATATTCAGTTTGGATTTGGATTCAGCCCGGGTCAGCGACGGTTATTCGATTCATTGATTCAGATCACTGTCCCCAATTCAATTCAGCCAAATCTGAATCTGAAGATTCGATGTTGATTCAGCCATAGATACAGCTTTAAATGTTTTTTCTCCATACCTCAATGTACCAGGCATGGCTCATGAATACTGTAATGCTGGGGTGGATGAAGAATCCCACAGGAGTGTGGGAGGCCCCCCCATGTGCTTAGTGGTGAACCTGGAAGTGGACCGGAAGTACTTCCAGTCTGCTTCCAAGTTTGCCCGGGAGTGTGTGGGGGTGCCCCACGCACCCCCCAGCTTGGTGACTGGTGCTTCCTGGCTCTGGGGGGGGCACCTGGGGTCCCCCAGTGGCAGATCACCAATACAGAGGAGCACAGGGGCCCCCCAGGACACTTCCTGGTAGACCTGGAAGTGGATTGGAAGTACTTCCTCCCACCCAGCTCAGCCCAGGCAAACCTCAGTTGGCAGCTCTCACTCCCTTCCCTGCCTTCTCCCTTCCTGTAGACAGCCCTGGAGCTGGAAAGGGGGAATGGGGATGAAACTGGGGCTAGGGGAGAGAGGTGGTTCCTCAGTGCAGGCTCCTTGGGCTTGATTTCCCACCCTGCCTCTTCCTCCTACCCAACAGGTGAAAATCTGTTGGGTTGGCAGGGGAGGGGGGCTCTCTAACTCATGGCACTGTGTGTAGAGCACCATGAGTTAGAGTAGGAACCTGCAGGTCTGTCAGCACCCTTATTTCCCCACTGAAAACAATTTTACATTATAGTGCTTCACCAGGAGAGAGTAAGAACTAGGGCCGAGGGTATGGGATTGCCCACTCCTTTCCTTGGGAGAGAAATTTTAACTCCAGCTATTGAGAATGGCAAGGTTTTGGACATGAAAGACCAGTATAAGGCCTGTTGTTTTGTAGAGATATGAAAATCGGGTACCTATTTAACTGCCTTTTGTCCCCTTTTAGTTGCTTTAAAAATAATGTAGAGATAATTTTTGGCCAATAAGGAGAAATGAGGTGGAAAAGATCTAGCCAAAAAATCATGTGAGGTCTATGAAGAACCAGACACAGCAAATGCAATGAAATCCCAGTAATTTTAATGAGAAGGATGTATAATTTGGATGATAGGAGGAAGACCGGGTAGGTATCTCATAGAAGATCATTTTTGTGGTTTTCACCCAATGGTTGACCAAGGAGATGAAAGACTAATTTTAAGGAAGACCAAAGAGCACTTTCATGTTGTATTACCAACAATGGGGGAAAACAGGTCCTTGACAAAAAGATATGGGGGTAAATTGTGAGAGTGACCTTTAGGGTCTCTGGAGTCAGGGAGAAATACAGCAGTAGGGAGTGATGTTATTTTGATGGCATTTACAGTATGTATTTTTGGTTACATATTGCCTTAATAGTAGAACTCCTATTGCAGTTTAAAAGAAATATGCATGTGGACTGAAGACAATATATTGCCTAAAGGTTTCAGAGTTGTCTTCACACACCTCACAAAAAATGTAAAGGGAACATTAATTTCCAGTGACACACACAAACCCTTATATATAGTCATACATTGATGCCCATTTTGCCTGTCATTTGTCTTGACTGTCTGTCTAGATTGCAGTCTCTTGAGGTAAGAATCTTTCCTTTCTATCTACAGCACTCTAGACTCTATTGGCATTTAACAAATAATATCTAAGTCAAATTTTGATTGTCTTGATATTTCTGGTACAGAAGCCAAGCAGAGAAAAAAGAATCGTTAAAAAAATGGGGACCTTCTACAAACTCTAAAGTAGCAGGAAGGGTGTACGAGGATTTTTTTCTTTACTTTTAAAGAAGTGTGTTTGCATGTGGACATGAACAGTTTTGCAAAATACACTTGGGAATGATGTAGCCTTGTATATTATGCAAATTGCCCTGTTAAAAAGTGGAGGTGATATAGCTACTCTATGGCATTCAGCAGCAAACAATTCTCTAGAGAGCTAAATTGTAAGCTTTCTCCATGCAGGACTATGGTCTGACAAGGTTTTACTGACTGACAGACTCCTCCCCTTCTCGGAGAGGAGCTGTGCTCTCTCCACTTCAAGGGAGCTAAATTTAAGCTGAGGACTCAGAACCTGACTCATTGTGGAGGGAGATGGAAGGAGCTTTTCTCCCTTTTCATTCTCTCTCACACATAGAACAGCTGCTTTATTCACTGAAAAGTGAAAATAGAGCCAAACCCCTTTCTAATTGCTGCAGAGCAGTGGTGACACATAGGGGGCACACGGGGGTTCATGTGGACTCCCTGAGAGCGCCAGTGCACCCACTGACTGGCTGTGTGGGGGGGCAGGTGGGAGCGCCAGTGACCCCCCTTGCAAGTGCCGACTGGGAAGTGGAGCACCGTTGCACTCCCAGAAGCGGCCGCAGCCACTGCTGGAAGTGGCTGCAGCAATTGGCTGCTGTGATCGGTCAGCAAGATTGGCCAAGGGAGAAACCCCCCTTCCCCGCATCAGCAGGGTCAGCCACAGGGGGGATGCACCCCCCCAGTGACTGACTGGTCACTTGGGGGGCACATGTCCACCCCTGACTAAGGTGGCACCAGTTGCCCGTGCTGCAGACCCTCATTCTCATTCTAGTGAAGATGCAAGCCATTAGTTGATAAAAATCAAGAGTACTAGAGAAGCCTTTATTGCCTGTCACAGTTTTTCCCAACTTTTCTTGTAATTCCTCACTTCCTTTTGCCACGCACCCCAGACCTTAAACTGTAAAACAGAAGCATTTGTCTTGTTTATAGTGAGCAGAGGCTATATATAGCATTTTTAGCCTGTCCCATATAAAAAACTGCTTTGCAGCATGTACTAGTAACATTGGTGTTAATATACTTTGTTACAGGGAAAAGGCTTTTGTAATAAGCTGCTGGCTGCAGAATGATAGGTCACTGCTAGATTTGTTTTCCTGGGTATTGCTATTGATGTTATGTCACCTGAGAAAATAATTCAATACATTTAGCCTGTTTTTCTCTTTGCCCATGAGTAATTTACAACATTCTTATACATATGTATCATTTTAAAGTATTTGCCAAATAATTTCTTCAACTCATTCTTGGCCAGCAGATTGTCGCAAGCAGTTCATTGAAATGTTTGACATTTGAGCTGTGCTGACTGCTTTGCTAAGGATAGCTAGGTGATGATGGGTTCTTTCTAGTCCCTCACTGGATGGGTGTAAATACTGACATTTATGAATGTGCTAGTTGTATGAAAACTCCTGCTGGAATATTTGTGAAAACTGAATATAAGAAGAGAAAAGGCAAATTCTGTTTTGCTTTTAAGCCAAAATGCTCAGAAATCTTTAAGGTGTCCATTCATCTCCTAGACAGTGGTTACTCTCCGCTTTCATTTAAGAAAAAAACAAACATTTTTCCTATGTTCCTCACTTGGAGAGAGAAAAGGCAGTATTTTTGGAAAGTAAAATAAATGTCTGCTCATGGCAACTTAAACTATTTTAATTAACTGGGTAGTGACTTAAAGTAAACATTGAATATTCATGTGTTCCCTTCACATAGCCCTACTGGAACAGTTGCATTCATGCCAGAATTACTAGGTAGAGAAGCAGTTCAAGGATATGTGTAAACCTAATGAAACTTGATGGTTGCTTTTTACTAAACGTGTATTCTCACATGGCTCTGGCCCAACACATCCCAATCCAGGTTCTTCCTGCTCATTTTGGGGTCATGGCCAACCAAACTGCTGATATATTTAATTACTGGACATTAGTAGACAGCTAAAGAAGGCTGCATTGTAAATGTGTAGCTAACTTACCTACACTGTAAAAAGTGTACTGAAAGTGGGTCCAAGGCAATTGGTGAAGTGCAAATGGAGCTGTATTACTTGGTTTTCAAGGTGAAAATGGAAGTAATGTCAACTATACCTTTTCTTTTCTGTTCATAGTTTTAAAAATGAACTTTACCCTCCAAGTGTACTGAGTAGCAGTTCAAATTTCTTTGTGTATTGAATTTACATAATTACAAAAAAGTCTCAGACAATTTTAGACTGAAGATTCTTGGCGTAAGATTTTGAAAAGCTATTAACTTGTTTCAGTATTTTTCTCCTGAATACTCAAAGGCACTTCTCTTCCATGATGGCTCTTTCTACACCAATTTCTGCTTTCAGCTCTGACCATTTTGGCTCTAGAATTGCACAGAGGGCTTAAAAATCTTTGTATGGTAGATGACAATTTTATTCACATGTTCAAAAATTGTGGGCACGTATTTGTTCAAACTTTCCAGAAATAATTTCCTTCCCACAGACATAAGGAAAACTTCATCCTGACAGCCAGATGTTTTCAGACAGTTATGAACTATTGGAAATGGGAATAGAATGGAAACCATTAAATTAATGGAAATCCTATAACTTTAAATGTAGCAATTGCTGTTGTTTCTACTATTGCATACCATTGTCTAATTTATTAATATGCCAAAGTTTATTGGGTAAGAGTAATGAAAGCTTAGTACTAGAAAACTTAATTAAATCACTCTTCCATGAAATGATTGTCAAATAGTAGTGGGAGACAAAGATGGGGTTACTGTTTCAATTCCCCAGTTTAAAGGTTAGTTAAAATAATTAGAAGGATTCCATTGTACTTAAAAATAAGAGGAAGGGGTTATCAAAAATGAATTCCCTATTGAATGGCAGCTTCTAGCCCCCAAAAATACTTACCTGAATAGCTATCTTCTCAGTTTCTGTGTTGCCTCTTTGGAACATTTATGTAGACTCATAATATAAAAATCTTCCTTTCACTTTATGCCATTTTGCATAAACTCTTCATGTAATAGCAAAGCCTATGCAAAAAAAAATTTAAAACATCATAATCTAAAGTACATGTGCTACAACAGCCTCCTCCTCCCCATTTGCAAACACCCCCTCACTTTCAATATTGCAATGAACTTCTTCCCTTTTTTTGCACTTCATGGAAGTCTTTGGCTTGATTTTCCTTACATAGAAATTAGCAAAGTTTTGCTCGTGTAAAACCTGTGTAGATAGTCAGAAACTTATTTTTTCTTATTTAATCAGACAGTAAAACCTTCCTGTGAAACACTCATGGCTAAAGACAAAGTACCGTAAGTCTATAATGTGTGTAAATTAGGATAAGATAATAGGCAGCTTTCACTGTGAAGTTTGCATTTATACCCTTTTCCCCCTAAAAACGCTGAGAAACTTCTGTTTTACAGTAAAGATTCTAATCTGTTCTAAGCAGGCCATGACTTCCAAAGCATTATTTAAATGCCTCAACTGAATAAAAGTATTCTTTCATGCCATTTCATACACTGAAGTACCAAGAGGGTAAATAACTTGCAATATCATTTTTGACTGACTTGACTTTGAAAAAGGCACAAGCTGCATAAACAACTGCTCAGTCGTTAGGTGCTTAACTGCATCTCTAAATGGTCCCATATGTTAGTCTGCTAATGTTGGTAATGATTATAAACATCTCCGTTCATCACATTAATGAGTTATAGCCAATAGAAAAGGACAAAAATCTATAACTTTTCCACAAACTTAGTTAAATGTCAAGGTTTTTAAAGGCCTAGTTAGCAAGTATATTAGATGAGATATGTCAGTTTCCCAATTTACGACTCTGACTTGTCTCTTGTGATTCCTTATAGCCTCTAGCCATTCTCCTCTTACCTGAGGCATTCTCTGGCAAAAACCTGATGCTTCCAGTCATTCTGCATTCTTGTGTTCCTTCAAAAATAATTGGACAGGCACCTCTCCATAAACAATCATCATTAGTCATATAAGGTACACAGATAAGAATACCACGCAAAAAGTTTCAATAGAATGTCTTGAGCCAAATAATAATAATTTGGCCAGCATGCTAAAAATGTGATTGACAGGGAGTTAATGCACTTAACACTTTTTCCAGCAGGCTGTTAAAATTAGTTCCTTGATGCTCAAAAAGTCCTGCTCCCAGAAAAGTGACACCGACATTGACCAGTGAGTTTGTTGCTGTTCAGTAACCTGCTCCATTTCTAGACTATATGATTAAAGTCATTATGGGAACTGTCAGCAGGAGGGAAAAAAATGAAAACTGTCATAAGAAGCAACTGCCGGAAATTTAAGGATTTTTTTTAATGTTAAACTATTTTAAAATATTGTCTGTAATTTTCATATCACAATACCAAGCTAGAAAAATAAAGCTCCAAATAAAAATGAATCCTCTCAAGTTAAAATATAAATGGTATGCATACATTTTCCTTATTTCACATACATTGGAAATCAATTAAATGAATATTAAATTACTTTGTATTTAAAACAAAAATTAGCAAGAAGGTGCTATTTTGAAATCCATTCCCATTATGTTTCAACTCACTTGACCAAATAATATAAAGAATTATGTGACTTGAAGAGAAACCAGAGTAAATAATAGGAAAAACCCAAAATTTACAATTAAAAACTGTTGAGTAATGTTCAATAGTAGAAGGTTTTTCAAGTTTTAGAATTACTTGAGTGATAAATAGCCAATTATATGGATAAATAAACATGTCTAAATGTACTGTAAGGCTTAATCCAACTGCACATATGTTCTATGTATGTAGTAATATGTATTTATGTACATTCACTAGATGATAGTTTGGGTGACTCATACTTTTGGATATCTGCTAAAATGCTATATTTTTCATTAAGCCACTGTATGTAAATTTCTAATTTATACTGTATTTAATTTAATGCTTTAGTTAAAAATGTATAAAATACATTATAGTAACTGACTTGTTGGAATTTGTAAAGCTTCTTTATAAAATCACACACACTTAAACTTAACTTAAATCCTAAGCTATTCAAAGATTTGTTTTCTCTTGCATGTCAACATGAAGACCTGACCTTTTCCTTACTTATATTTTAAAATGTTTTAAAGATCAAGAAGGTGCCTAGAAGAGAGGATAGTATTTTTATCTGAGACAACAATACCAACACTATAATATTCTTATATTTATTTTTCTTTCCTCACCTGCTATGCCCAGGTTTTGACATTAAGAATATTGTGTTTGATATTTTCAGCATTAAAAATCACTTTAGGCTTTGGTTCCATTTTACTCCCAGTCAGAAAGATCAGAAAAAGCTCAAGTCACACAGTGAGAAACTTTATCCACTGAATGAGACATTATCCATTCCACCAGACTACAAATCAAAGAGTATCTCTTAGGCTGCTTAAAAATTCATTTTAAAATCTGATCCTGATTGTACTTTTATGGTAATTTCATACCATCAATCATCCTTTTACCTTTAGTCTCTAGGTCCACTGCTTTCCCCATAGATCTCATTCACTCTACCTCATTATAATTCTTTAGGTGAAAAAACAGGGTAAGAAACCTTAACAGAAAATGAGAGAAAGATGTAAATTTCTTGAGAAAAGTCAGGTTCACTAAGAAGCATGGCTAATGATATGTTCTGATCTATTTTTTTTTAAATTAAAAGATGGGGGGAAGGATAGATAGAAGTGAAAAACATGTTTCTCATGCAAATAACATATTTGTAATCTGTATTATAACTCAATAATACCATTTATACTACTAACCTGTCAGAATACCTTCTTAGATGGTGGTTGATTGAAAAAGAACAAAAGGGATATTTTTGGAACTCCACAGAACTTTTCATTAATTGCAGTGTAGAACTTCCTAGGATTCTGTGGTTTTTTCCATTAGGAATAAGGCAGTTTTGTCTTTGTTAATTCTATAGACTCCAGTTGTGCTCTTTAGCAAATACCATCTAAGATTGCTGCAAACTGATTCTTCAAAACCCCTTCTTGGCACATGACTCATATGAAATAAGTTATATATAAAACAAGAATTATAACTTTGCTTATTTTGTATTTGGCAGTAGTTTCTCCAGCAAACAATTACTCTCAAGCAAGAAGAGGTACTGTTTTGGCTCTGTCAACCAAATACTCAATGGCTACCAACATTATTGGAAGCACCCAGCTTAAGTCCCGTATGTGTTTAGTATTTTCTACATGATTCACATTTTCCTAACAGTGAATGTTATAATTTTACTCTATTGATTTGAATTCTGACTGCAAATGAAAAGAACATATTTTTTGAGCAACAAGAGTTGTAACAGATAATAGCCCCAGCAATGCATACCAATACATTTAGACTGGAAGGAAAAATGGCTATTAACCACATGGGAAAAGAATGATTTTTCCAACACGTTTGGTCCATCCACGTTACAGCTCCTAATGTCTTTAACAAAATGTAGCCATAAACCACTGAATACTGGTAATAGCAATAATCTCCCCGAAATGGGTTGTTACCAGCAGTTAGTGACCAGTTTCTTAGTTAATGGCCTGAGGGGAAAGGCGTTAAAAAAAGTTGTATTCACTTTTTCCTCTCAGGCAATTTAACTGGATGCATTAAACTGTATTTTCATTGAGTTTCTAAACATTTGTACTCTGATAAAACCCTAATCTGGTGGGGGTTACTGTTGAGGAAATCACCCTGCTTTGAGAACATTTTTAGAAACAAAACATTTGGATGTAGGTTATTAACTGTTTCATTAGTATTCCAATTAACTGAAATCATATTAAGATGCTGAGAAAATAATAAAAATAATGTTCATAGTTTTTAAATATCATGATAAGCATGCCAGTGTAATCTATGATGCTATCTAAAAAAGACTTGAAAAACATTAATACAGCTCCGTGGTAGAATGGGGAAAAATTAAGGCATGCAGAAAAAAGCAGTTATTTTCTTGCCTACAAAATCAAATGCCTCTTTGAAGTGCTCTTCCTTACCCACTTCCATAAAGACAATTTAAAAAACCCCAAAATATATTGGAATACTACACGAACTTGAAGTATAACAAACTCTCATTTTGCTATCCTGTCCATATATTTTACCTCTTTAAAAATTATGTATGTTTCTTTCATTTCATAGTGCATTAATTCACTATTTCATATAGCTACCAATTATACCATAGATACCCAAGCCTGTATATGTGTCTTATGGAAATAATATGTATGTTCTATCTCTAAGCATAAAACTATATTTTCAGTGAATGTGCATTATAATTGAAAGAGCACAAACCCCAAGAGTTAAAACCAGAATACCATTTCTATCACTATTTACATGTATTAATCATCTATAAATCAATCAAAACCATGAACAAGTTATATAGTGTTGATTCATTTGTCCACCTCTGCAAATCATTGGTTTTAAATGGTATTTCTTAGTTGTTCTGTGGTTCAGGGGGTAAAAAGACTCATTAATCAGAAATATTAACCTGACTGGGTTACTAAAGTCCAAGGGAATGATTGACATCACACAGAACCTTCCATAATATATACACAGGAATGAATACTCTCATTAGGCATACTATGTTAAAAAAAAGCTGCACTTTACTCAATACTGTGTAGGATTAAGGCAGGAGAAGCAGAAAAGGATTCCTGTACACAGACCATTTTATTGTGAATGTTAGCTTTCTAGAGCATCATATAAGAATGGAAAAGAACGGCTTTTGAGTAAGTTCAAACTTCTGCATTATGGATTTGAAATTTCAAGGACTGGAACATTGGTTGTTCACACAACCCCCCCACCACATACACATATAGACTGACTTTGTGCAGGAGAACAATGTAAGCTCTGGGAGGAAATAATTCTTCTGTCCACATGTAGAGCATGGGGGTCACCTAGGCATGTGGGACTACAGCCCAGCTGTGCAAAATTTACATAAGATATTGGTCAATGAAGCTGTACTCGTCATAAGCATACAGACCATCCTTCTACGAATAGTTCATACTCCTGTTTCACCAGAAAGCTGCTGTGGCATTTGTTTTTCCTAAGTATATGAAGCTATCAATTCATATTCCTACTCTCTGCGTGTAGTATAGTTCTAACAGTTTTAGATCATGCCCAGCAGAATTTTTCCTTGTATCATATTGAGTTGTGTTGTATTGCACTCTCCCTTTAAGGTTAACTGTTCGTTCTAACCACTTCCCATAGTTCGAGTCAATTGAATGTTTGTCTTTGGAGTAAACTGTGGCCCAGGAAAAAAGATGAAAAAGATAAGTAGTGCTGGTCTGAAAAGTGTTAGTAGTGTCAAGTGACACAGGGACTTGATGAGTAGCTTAGCAGTGTTATAAGCAGCTTTAAAATTAGTTAAATGGATAGGAAAATTCAGTGTTGGAATTTGAAGTCAGTTAGGTGGGAATGTGAAAGAGGAAAAGAAAAATTCCTATAAGGTGAATGAATAAGAGCAGGCTTGAAAAGTAAACAGACAAAAGGATATGTGGAACACTGAAAGCACAGAGAATCAGGAGCTCCCCGAAGAAAGAAAAAAGACAGACAGAAAAAGAATAGTGGCAAAAAACCTACCTTGAATGTTGCTTCTAGTCAAGAAGGACTGTAACTTTAACAATTTTTTTAATACTGCAAGGTGTAAACTAGTCAGTTTTTCTGGGAAAAAATTTTTTACTGCATAGAAAGTAATGTTTTAGTTTAAAAAGATGTGAAGACATATTTATTTGAATATCTCAGACCTTGGAAAATCTTCCAGATGTTTCACCATACCCAAAACTTGTCCATGTAGTCTAATTTATTAAAATATATTGTCCTTATTCAGCTTTACTTATAAGGTGGATGCTAACAGCAATCAGACTTAAAAGGTCAAATTCTGTATTGATTTTTACAAATACATTGAGGTCAATAGTGTTGCATGAGTGTACCTTAAGGTGAAATTTGAGCTAAGGAGAATGAGAGATCAAAGCAGTGTAGGATTTGTATATTTAAACTATAAAAGTTAGCTTGATTCACTTGAATTCTTTCTCTAATAAGACTGAGTTAAACAAAATGCAAATAGTGCTCACAAGTATTTGTTTGAATTCAGATTGGTTTTTAAATTCAGTCATAGTTTCCCCTCCTATTTTGCATGGAATATTTGGAACAGTGTTTCCAAAGTCTCTTAAGAAGTACTTGCACAAAGGTAATTAAATGTATTGATCTGACTGTGCCATTTGCAATGAAGAGGAAACACAACACATAGCTTATAATGTAATGGGATGACAGAAAAAATGAGAAATCAGC